CTGTATGCACCAAAGCCACACTCGCCCCACCTCTTTGCCTGTTTTGGGATTAGCTGTATATGTTTATGCCATATGTGCATATTTCTCAGTGAGTGTGTGAGGAGTTTGGGATTTGACCCAAAGCCTTGGTTATAGAATTCAGAATCCCTACATGACCCGGTGCTGCTGCTCATTGCAGTGAAGGCAGCGCTGTCTCTCTGTGTTTAAGCTCCCTCTCTCATCCTGAGAAATGAATTTGATGCACAGATTAGTGTCTTTCATACTTGTTCAGCTATAAATCCATAAGCTGATAGTGGTATTCCTCTGACACTGCAGGTGAATACTGAGCATCACTGCTCCTCTGTGCCAACTGCCTGCTGCTGATTACAATAAGTTGTTGATGTTAATTAGGTTAAAAAACAGCCAACATGGAGTCATTGAACTCATTCATTTAAAGAATCAGTTAATCCAAATCACAAAAAACACATTCTCATTTTCCTCTTCTCTCATGTCATGTAAGTAGTTGGTTTTATTCGTCCTCTTTTTATGACACTGTCACCTAGAAATTACATTGTTTAGTATTAAACATCGTTTTCTTATACATTTTGGAGAAAAAGTATTTGCCACCTGTGTAAGTCAAGTTGTTGAGCTAAATTATGAGCAGGACATTATAAAAGCCTGTAAATTCCTGTCGGTATTGGCAGAGACTTTTATTTTGAAGAGTACATATTATATTTTCAGCCATTTCCTCTGCTTTTCCTAAAATATAATTTTGAAGGAGTAGATTTGACACAGGAGAGCGGTGATCGATTCACTTGTAAAACTAGCTGTTTATATTGTAACCATGACAACTAAGACCATGTTACGTTGAGGAAGTTCTTATTTTAACCCAAATCACCATCTTTTCCTTAACCTAACCAAGCCATGACCGACCATTACTGTAGTAACCATGGCAACAAAGGTAGGTAGGCCACTGTCGGTACAGTCTATGTCGGTACAGTTTATTATTGTAACCATGACACTGAAAATAACATCCGGTATGGTTGTTCAGGTTGGAGGAGATGTTGCTTTAGTGACAACATTTTATCCAGTGAGGGAAGTGTTATGCTCTTGTGCTGCATGCAAGCAGTGGTCAGGCTGAATAGTGACTGTGCAAGGGATGGAACATCCTGGGTCCTGCATGTATTTTGGTGTAGGTGACAAAAACAGTGTAAAGGATGTACTAGGGCTTTGATTAAATGCTAATAAAGTAAATGCATAAATGCATCCTGTCTATGCTTCTGCTCACTGTTAACTTTTTTAAATATTTAACCAACACTAGATTATTTCCCTGACCTTAACCAAGCGCTTTGAGTTACCTGAACATAATTATTTGATTGTTAATCATGACTTAGCTGCCCTGAACAGATACTGTGGGAAAACAAATGAGATACATAATCAGTGAACATAATGCAGGCAGCTTTATGTTTGTTTCAAAATTCACTGGTGCAAATTAGCAGCTTAAAAACATATTTCAGATTAGTCTCTGACATTTCTGATTTCTGACACCACCTGAGTATAATGGAGGTTGTAACCAGTTTTCACTGGAATTAGCTTTTTCTTGGCTAGGCTAGTTACTTGGTCTTTCAAGAGGAACAGAGACGCTGTTTCTGAAAATGTATTGTGTTGGAGTAAGTAAGAAAATATGTTTTTGTTTTGACAAAAAAAAAAAAAAAGTCTTATGCAATTCGTTTGATCCAATCCTTTTACTTGTTATTTGCCTTCCACATATGTTTCCAACAGACAAGGATAGCTCATGTACTGGACCTAACAGTACTCTCAATGAGTCTGAAGGCTACAGAGCTTCAGTTTCAAAGTCACATCGACAGCTCTTCACAGCTTCTGTTGTTTACATATGAGCAGTGCTACAGGCTTCTCTTCACTGCAGATGTTTGATTGAAATAAAGCACAGTGATGAATAAAACACAAAGTCACAAGCAGTACTGTATTTTCACTGTTATCAGTAAATCCTATTAAAGACAAAAAACAAATGTAAGGTAGTATTGTGCCTCATACAGCTTATCCTGCTGTGGCATAGAGCTTCCAACAACGATTCAAGTCTTTAACTGAAATTAACGTCTTTTTCTCTGGAAATCACATGTCCTGTGTCGTTTATTAAAGGATATATCTGATGATATTCTATATTTTTATTGCTGTATATTTATTCATTCATTCATTTATTCATATTCTGGTTGTCCATCCCATTCTCGTGGGCATCTCAGTAATGTCTTGCAACTTCTTCAAATTTGACACAAACATTCACTTGGACTCAATGATGAACTGATTCGATTTTGGTGGTCAAAGGTCAAGGTCAGTGTGACCTCATAAAACACTTTTACTGAATTACCGTTACTGAAGACTTCACACAGCAATTATGACAAAAGTTCACACAAATGGTTCATATTTTGTTTGATTCTGAATAAACAGGGATGTAACCTGAAACTAGTCTGAACGGTGGAGGCATAAAACCACAAGGAGGGGATGCTAGTTCTTTATGTCCCGTTGACATGTTGTGAGCCATTTGTAAAGATTTATGTCTTCTGTAGGAACCAGTTAGGGTGTGAGTGCCTCAGAGAGGGGAGGGAAGTCAGACGCTGATGAGGAGCAGACTCACACATAGCTGGGTAAGTCTGGGCAGTAGAACAAAATGGAAACATAATACTGACATCTCATATAATTGTTATGGTTAACAGTTGCCTATTTACCTGTAGACACAGAGCAACACAGAGTTTGTTTTGTTGGCTGTGTCTACCTGATGAATATAAGTCCAATACTCACTCAGGTCAGCTCTGGTTTGGTCTCCACCAACCCCTGAGAAAAACATCTGGCTCTTAAGCTGCTAAAGTAAAAGCTCCGATATTTTACCAGCTAATCTAATTTAGTCTGTGTGCGGTTTGGTGCTGCACAGGTAGTGTGCAGCTGTATTGTTCATTGACTGCTGCAACTCAAAGTTATGCTGATTAAAGCAGTGAGACTGAACTGAAACTGCAAACTGTCAAACACACTCACACACACTGTTTAAATATACATTTAAAAATAACTTTGACATGTTTTTGTTTTTGTGATTTCAGTTGGACATTAAAAGGAAATAAAAGTGACTTATTTTTTGTGTGTAGTTTATTGTGAAACATCTGCGACTGCACTTTGAATCTGTGGAGAGTAGCTTTGTGACAGGCAGTCGCCGCTGAGACAGTCTCAGAGACTTCCCAGTTTACATGCTGAGAGGAACAGCTCTTATGGGTCAGAGGGTTGGAACAAACGACCTGTGTGGTTGTTCAGGTTGGAGGACTGTAAGAAACGTTGGGGTCATTTTGGGGGGACTATTGTAATTCTTTATCATCAGGATGTCCCGGGAACACTGGGAAAAGCCTCCAGCTGATCCAAAATGCTGCAGCAGAGTACTGACAGGAACTAGGAGAGAGATTATATTAGCTTCTCTGCACTGGCTCCCTAAATCCACAGTGAAATTCAAAATCCCTCTTCACATACAATGCCCTTATTAACACCATATCTATATATACATATATTAAAAACCTTATACCTTATTATCCCAATAGTACTCTTCGCAGGTCTGCTTGTAGTTCCTAGAGTCTCTAAGAGTAGAATGGGAGGCAGAGTCTTCAGCTATCAGGCTCCTCTCCTGTGGAGCCAGCTCCTGTGGAGCCGGCTCCCAGTCTGGGTGCAGGAGGCAGACTCCCTGTACATTTAAGATTAGACTTCAAACTGTCCTCTTTGATAAAGATTATAGTTAGGAGCTGTGGGATCCAGATCTGCCACTAAATCACGCATCATCATTATTAATGTTATGATGATTATGATTATGATGATTATTTTTATTATTATCAGTAGTCTTAGTAGTAATAATTTGTGCTGGTATCATTGCTGCTGTTATCATTAATAACAGATCAGTATGACTATTATTATTATCATTGTAACAGACAGTCTGGCAGAGCTTGAGTACAACGGTATTCTGTTCTTGGTCTCTCTCTCTTTTCTCCCCTTTTCCTCTCCCTCTTTTCCTCTCTCACCCATTTCTGTACTTTAAAACCCAACGCTCAAGGCAGACCATCCCACCTCCCACCCTGCTCTGTTGGAGCTTTCTTCCTGTTAAAGGGAGTTCTTCCTCTCCAATGTCTCCAGGTGCTGCTCATGGTGGAACTGTTGGGTTTCTCTCTATAATATTGTCAGGTCCTGACCTTACTCTGTAAAGTGCCTGGAGATAATCTATGTTATGTTATATAAAATTTAATTGGATTGTAACAGAGTTTGTATAGCATGTGATTCCATTTGCTGTAACTGCCATGATTTTATATTTATGTATCTGTATGGATTTATTGGCTCAACGGCGCCCTCTCTTGGAGGTAGCAGCTTCGAGACGTTGCCAGCTCATGAGAGATGTGCCTGAGGTGAGTTAGAGTGCAGCACGGTGTGCAAATATTGTGTATTAATGTCTGTATGTACAATGTATGAACATATATGTGCACTGTGACTGTAGAAATGTTCATGAAGATTGTCACAAGTGAGTCCCTGTACTTTTCAAGTGCTGAAATGTTCAAATAATGTCATATCGCCCTCTCTAAGCTAGCTAGTTAGCCTCAGAGCTAAAATAACATGCTGTTCTTTGTAGTGAGCCGTGTGAGCGCCACCTGTTTGACTGGTCTGTACATATTCTGTTCCCGTTCAGACAATAACCCGCGGCGCACAAGGATCAGCAAGCCTCCCGCTCCTCATTCTCCACACAACGCAGAGTGGAGGGGTCGCCTGAACCCGGCAGTTACAGTGACGTGCAGCTGAGAGCAATTACTTAAGATTTTCCTCTTGCTTTATCATTTTACCCTCATCTTCTCTTTTTGTCTTCTACACACTGTGTAACGTGAATCATTTTGGTATAAGCAGGATTCATAGGGTGGTAGAATATGATTAGTGACTGATGAACTGATGATTAGAAAAGAAGAAAGAAAAAGAAAACATGCTGCACTCACCTGCTTGGATGCTGGGGAGCAGCAGAGCTGCCAGAAACACGACGCATGTCTTCATCTCTCTCGGCCTGCTGCTGACCAACTTCACACTTGAGGCCTTCAAAGGTTGCGTCAGACCTCCCAGTGGGCTTCAGAGAAGGTCTCAGAGTGGGAAGTGCCAAGTTCACAGCGGGGAGCCACCGAAGGCACCTAGAACATCACATTGAAATGCAGAAGACTCAGCAAGACATGTACAAATAGGTGATTCTAAAGGACTCCCTGGTGAACGAGCGTGACAGGAGGTCTGTCCCAGTGCAGGAGTCCTTAAGAGCACTAGATTTCATTATAGGTTTTAACTTTATCTTTACAGACATTATAAGAGTAGATAGTTTTACTGTATGAAAGGGCACACACACACACACACACATAACCACTGCAACATCACACAGGTTTGTCAAAGACGCACATAATTGTTTTGGAAAGGGGACATAAAACCAATTTCAGTGTTGTTATTTTGATTACTGGCATTCAGTTGTCTTCACATGATCAACAGCAGAGACAGTGAGCCACACTGAGCTGCCTGAGCCACTGTGTAGCCTACATGATGACATTTATAGCAGTGTTACCTGCTCTGATTTTGCCCCTCACTCTTAATATGTATTTCACTGCAGATGTATTCTGTTAGATTACTCAAAGCAAGTGCTGTATTTCAAATACTCATGATCGCATGTAACACTGTGAATGAAACCTAAGGTCGATCTCATGGTAATGTTTGTCTGGCAAAAGGGATGAAGAGCAGTTCTTCCTTGACCTTTTATCCTCCACAGCATCATGTTAGAATGAAAACCAGTGAACAAGAAGAAAATAGAAGAATGTCAATTTACACCTTCAGAGGACATTTTGTTTTCACCTTGTTGCTAGCTCACACATCAGAAGGTTGTAGTTCTCAAACGGTTGTTTAAAAGTTCTCAGACATTTAGGAAGTTATATATGTTATTGCAAAGAAATAATTGGCAAAAAACATAGTAGCCTAAACATCATGCATGTTGTAAACTGGCTGGCCTCCACCCAGCGGTTTGTTTGTCAGCCAGATCTGCTTAGTGAGCTAGCTCCTGCAGTCGTGGATATATTATGAGACCAGAATGCTGGATGTTCATTCAGTCCTGTATGGACTGCTCACCTGTAAAGTCTCGCTTCTTCCAGACCGTACCTCCATAAAACAGTCTGTAAAACATGCTGTGACATTTTGCACTTCTTACTCCTCATTTAATGACTTCACAGTGTTTACTGCGGACTGTTGGCTGAATCACTGTAAACTGCGCAGCATCCCGATGCTGGCTCTGGTTACAATGAATTAGCTCATCCTGCTCATGTAGAGAGCCCAGTGAGAGGCTGTGGGCATAAAGGAGCTCTATAATAATTAATCATAATTCATTTTATCATTTAATTAGCTTGCTGTTTCACTATGGGGGCACAGAGTTAGTGGGAGTTTTCCTGTGCAGTAGTTGTAGTACAATGGCCTATTTACCATGATTGTAGATACACTGTTCACACTAGAGCTGCCTTCATGGGCCAGACAGAGACATATATTTCATTCAGTTTGTTTGCTGAGCTTTATGCTGCTAATGTCGCTTGATTATCAAAGAACTACTCCACTAAAGCCATTTTCACATATGTACATGTGAACGTCTGGAGAATCAGGTGCAGACAGGAGGTTGTCTGTGTGAGACGCACTCTCACCACCCGGACACACTGTTTTTGGTTTCGATGAGTGGTGGCGTCTGGGTAAAGCGTGCAGGAGAAATGATAGAACACTCACTGTGTATTTTCTTCAGACAATGACTGGCTCTATTCACTTATGGGCTCAATTGCACATCACACAGACTTTATTCTTGGCAACTGACAGGGGAAAGTCCATTCAACTGACTGGGACATCTGTGTTCACACATACAGCTCCTCTGGTTAATGTCAAGAAAAGTTCAGGCTGCAGTTGCATGTGTGAAAGCAGCTTTAATGATTGTAGGGAGATGATCACTGTCATAATAATAGCTTATACAGAGCACTGTTATTACCACATCCACAGTGTCTAAACTATACCATGGTGTTCAGACGGAGCCTCAAAGAGAGGACTTATTATGACTCTTGCAAAGATACATCCACAGCTGCAAGCATATAGGCCTACCTGCTTTATGCCAACACATCTGATGATATATAGCTTACATATACACACACACACACACATACATAATATATACACCAATCAGCCACAGCATGTTTTTATTGTTGTGGCTGATGGTGTATATCTGTATATCTATATGGCTTGGTATATACTGTATCTGTGGCCTGTTTTAAGAGTTCATTCTGAACCATTAGTAATTTGATTTAAAACTTAACTATATATATGAACTCTGAAGAGTGACGTATTACATTTTATATTCTATGGGCACAAATTACACGTGGTTTGGTCAAATAGCAAAACAGCTTACACACAAATGTATGAGCATTACATCAGAAACAAAGCACACCAGGCTTCCTACAAGGGATCCAGTCCTCATCAACAACGGTTATGTTGGCAAGACTAGCATGCATCTAGTTATCTCTAAAATGAAATAGTGATAAATCATCATCATGCATGAATGATTCATGTTGATGAAGATACAAAAAACTAGAAAATGCATAGCAAAATAGCAATGTTAATATTTTTAGATGTTTTCAGGGGAGCCCATGTCTTGTTAAGGGGAGCTGAGCTCCCCCTGGTTCCCCTGTAGTTCACACCTTGCAGATAGACAATACAGACAGTAACACTAAACTACAAAACACATCTCTCTCATACAGCTGTTGAGACTAAATCAGATCAAGTAAAACAGAGGATTGTAGAAACCTGACATCAGAGAATATTAATTGATTCATCTGTAATTACTCTGCTCATTCTGCTCCTCACATACAGTGTGGTGAATTCACAGATCTAAACCATGACAACAAATGACTATTATGAAAAATATGAAAATAAAATAAATAACTAATGTAATAAAGGTGTGGTTTCTGAAATCCTTTGATAAAATAAGTAAGACATAAACATCACCTCGCTCATGGATCAGTTTATTCCGATGAAAACATTGCTGCAAGTGGGAAAGTCTAAACCGGTATCTCCAGTTTCCTAATGAATGAATGAATGAATGAATGAATGAATGAATGAATGAATGAATGAAGTGAACACGACTTGGTTTATGGATTTATGTTGAAAACACTGCCAACTGTAAAGTAATGTGATGTTCTAGTAAGTCACTCCTGCAGCTGTTAGATCTAGATTTAGTAAAATCCTAGAAGTGGAGTGACCCACACATCTGGTGGTGTGGAAGCAAATGTGAGAGTGATTATAATTACAGGGCTGTTCAAGGTACCCGTGAATGTATTCTCATTGATGTATTATGAGTGTGATTGTCTCATCTGGGGTCTCACATGTTTCCCTCTCAGGGTCAAAAGGCTCCTAACTGGTTCAGCGCTTGTGTTTCTGGGTCACATTCTGCAAAGCAGCTCAGAGGAGTACACCACATGTTTGATCACTGTAGTAAAACATGGATCTTTTAATCATAAAAAAAGGAGGGAACAAATAATCTAACCTTGACAAGGCAGAAGAAACACAATATTTTTACTATGAACTTGAGATTAGATTTTTTTTTTACCGATCTAAGACATGAAGAAAAAGTGGTGTCACTAGTCTCTGAGAATCAAAGAGCTTCTCTCTGCAGCAGCAAAATTGCACTGATGTTCAACACTCATAGACACATCAGTGAACTCCCTCTGGGACTTTCTGGGTGGGAAGCAAGGGCAGACCCACCCAGCACCCTCAGCACCCTCCTGTGCAGCCCCAAGCTAAGGAGACCTGGAAGGATTAATACGCCAAACAGGGAACAACAGAAGAAAACAAGTAAATTACATCATTCTTTTTTCTGGCGTATGTAGAATAGCCTCTACCAATGTAGGACACCCACTCCCAACTGAGACTGGCAAACAAATGTGTGCAGCCTTTTAAAAAATACGGCCACATAACGGTGTCAGCATTGATGATTCTGCAGTATTTGTGTTCAGGAACTATGATATAGTTCAGGTTAGAGATAGTGATGATGATAGGCCGTTAATTCACAACCCTCATCTCCACCGCCTTCCTTTCTGCCTTTCTACAAACAGGATACTTCATTTCCTGCATTGGCTCTGACATTTGGCATTGGATATAAATTGTGAGGTGCAGAATCATCCAATATATAAGTAATTCCTTGGAATACTGAAAGTCTGAAGACCACAAGGACACACAAAGGACACAGAGAGAAAGTAAACACAGAAAGTAGCCTTCTACAATGTCCATTATGGCTAATTGCAGAGGGATCTACACCTGGGCCAACTTGCCAGTAGCCATGTTCATCCATCACAGAGGCTTAAGCTCCTTCTGAGCCACTGTGTTCCTCTGAGGAATGTGGACTGTCATTAATATCCCTGTACACAAAACAATCTCAGTCCAGACTGTTATGGTCCGTGGTGGAACAAGCTACCAGATGCTATCAGAGCAGGGTCGTCTCTCTCTGTCTTCAAGAATCTCAAGAATCTCTCAGTCAAAACACTGCAGCTCGGCTGAGAACCAGAACCAAGAGGAGAGAGCACATCAGTCCAGTTTAACTTCCTGTTACCTTTAGAATTGATTTTAAGCTCCTCCTCCTTATATACAAAGACCTTCATGTGCAAGCACCAAGCTACATTTTAGCTCCCTTGATAACTATAGACCTCCAGGAACACTGAGATCATCTACTGCTGCTTTACTAAAGGTTCCAGAAACATCAGGGACGCAGCTTGTGTCAGTTCCAACCCAAAGCTGTGGACAACACGACCTGTAGATATCAGAGAAGAAGAAGCTCACTGAGTGTTTTTAAAAGAAAGATAAAAACTTTATTTCTTCACTTTAGCCTTTAACCAGCTCTGAAACTTTACACTTTGCTCAGCACTTCTTTTACATGCTGTTATAAATATTGATGTCTTACTGATTTTATGCTTCCTATAGAAAGCATAAAATTATACACGTAATCATTTTTCTAAAATCTTATTTTAATTGAATTATTTAGTTATTTCATTTATTATTTCTGTGTTACTATTTTATTATTATTCCGTCTCATTTTACATCAATGTTTGTGTTGCCATATTGAATAGATTTAGTATTCATT